ACCAAATCTTGTTGGTTGTGCACCATTACGGCTACTAACACCGGCGGTCGGTAGTGTTGAGTCACAGCTAGTGGTGGTCTTGGGTGGCTTAGGGTATTTTGTTAACTTTTAAACTTTTTTGTGGCTGGGGTGTTTTAGCTAATTTCTCAAATGCAGGGGGGTTGGGTAATTGTTATTTGGTTGACATTTGAGGGCAATTGTGTCCGAAATGGTTTTTAATTAAGGGCAAAATGGGTAGAAAATCATATTACCTTGGTACTGTTTGAATAACACCCCCTAACAAAGTAATAAGATTACCCCCCACATTACCAACAGTAAACACTATTACTTGCAATAAATGATTACCGTAATATTTTATTACTTGCAAACCTATCACATGAATTTTGCAAAATAAACAAAGATTACCCTCGATCCAAACGGCCCCATAAAGTTGATATCTTTACCCCCTATCTACATTATATTTTCAAAAAATAGAGCCAAAAAAAAAAAAAAAAAAAATGGGAGATTTTTAGGGTTTTTGATTTCACACTTCATGCAACAAAATCCAACACGAAAAAGAGTTAAACAATATATAAAAGGATATATAACTAAAAACCTTAGAATTTCAAGTCAAATGCTGTAACATCTACTGAAAACTGTACAATGCATGCATAATAACAATAGAAAATTGGGCCCAAAGTTTTCTTTTCATTACAATACATGTGTCCTTTATACATAAAGAGTACTGTTTACAAAAATGTATTTTAAAAGACAAAACAGGGGAACAGTGTAGCTATTGCTCCTCGCTCGCCGACGCCCCTCCAACCGCATCAACACCTAGAACCTGCATCCACAAAGGAAAATAACGGGGTGAGCACAAATAATGCTCAGTAAGTAAAACCCTCTAACTGTCTGTCCCCGTGTGTGACTCTTAAATTCTTTCCTTTTCTAATCTGTTTCTATTTCTGTTTCTACTAAATACCATGACCTCATCTTACGGAGGTACGGCCAGATGGCGTTCACAGCACCATCTCACTCTCCATAACTATCGGGTGGATTCACATAGTACCAACCCGTTCTTAGTGACTACCAAGTGGGGATCCAAAGCCCTACTCGGTTTTCCTAACTATGGGTGGAGATCACTTAGCACTACGTTCCTCTGACTTTTGGATAACGATCACCAAGCATAATCCGTCTATAGTCACTGTCGGGTGATGATCACAAAGCATCAACTCACTTATCTAATAACTAATCGGAGAGTGTCACAAAGCATCTACCCCATTTCTATTACTCATTGGGTGACGTCACAAAGCATCGACCCATCTCTCTAAGGGCTATTCGGATGATGATCACAAAGCATCATCCGATTCCCATAACTGTCGGGTGATGATCACCAAGCATCATCCAACTATACTACTCTTCATTCATTCTATTGTAGCATTTTTCAATGCTCTCTACCCTTGAGTAATTTTACCCACTAAGCTCTGTACTCATAGGGTAATTGATACACCATTTCCTTACACTTTCTTATGTCACTTTTCCATGTGCAACTAGTGCCTATGGATGGTTCATCTTACCAATGCACTTATGAGATGCCAACATGCAATGTTGCAAGAATTAAGGTTCATTACTACACTCAAACCTCTATTAGGCATTTCATCAAACAACTCATGTGCACTATAAAACTCTATCATAGACATGATTCTAAAACTTTTCCTAACCATCCAAAATGGGGAAAAACCCCTTCACAAGTCATAATAACTGTCAAAAAACACTTCCAAAAAGGGTTCCATACACCCCTTCAAATCCATCTCATCTACCTGCCAATCACAACACCTTTCTCATATTGCAATGAATTAACAAATCACAAGGCATAGAAATCTCTATTTATCCTTCATACATGACATATTACATGCACTCAATACAACATCAGTCTATCAAAACCCAATCAAGAAATTTCATAAATCTCAATGGGTTGGGTTTACCTCACCTTGTTATGGAGAGATTCACCAACTCTTCCTTTCACTTGTTTAGCTTGAATTTTCCTCTAATCTTAACCAAAAGAATGAAAACCCTCAAACACCAAATGAACTAAAACTCACAAATCACACACTTAAGGAGAAATCCTTACCTTAGGAAGCCCTAGGTTGCTTTTCTACTCCAAATCACTTTAAAAACCCTTGAAAAACCTTGATCAAAAGAAAAGAGAAGTTGAGAGGAGAAGAATGAAGAGTCACGTTTGAGAAGAAGAAATGAGGGGTTTCTTTGATTCTAATTCCTTTTAATGAAATATAAACACACTCATTCCCATTTTGCCCTTATTCTACTTTGGGAATTCCATCCATATCCTTTGATTCATTACAAACTCACCCCTATATCAACATATTCTCCATGAAAATTCCTTACAATTAACTCCCCACTTTTCCTGCTAATTAGGGGTAGAATGGTCAAATTGCCCTTAGGGAAGAAAATATCTAAAACTTCATCAACATTTTATTCGGCCTGTCGCCGCGGCGAAGAAACTTCTGTCGCCGCGGCGAAACTGTCCAGCAGCTCCCCCGTGGCTTCAGCACCTCTTCGCCGCGGCGAAGATTCTTCTTCGCCCCGGCGAAGACCGAAATACTAACCTTCTTCTATTTTCAACCAATTTTCAGGGCAAACATTCAACATAACACTCAAACAAACAATAATAACAAAAACCAACTCGATTAAGGGCAAAAGAGGAAACAATAACAACGTACCTCAAGCGGGGCGTTGCAAATGCTGCAAAATGGTCACTTGAACAGGCAAAATTTTTTGGGAAAACGAATGTACATATTATACAATGCAAAGAAACAACAAAAATTTGATTTTTTTTTTTTTTTTAATTTTAAATGAGCTAACTTATAGGGTGTGTTTGGTTCAAGGAATGTTGTATTACTGGGAAGTTTAGAGAAATGTGTTTCATTGGTTGGAATAAAATGATGAGTATGTTATATTAATATGTTTGGTTGAAATGAATATATTGGTGAGTATGTTATATAATTTACTAAATTGCCCTCATTTTTAAATATTAATATTATATTATTTTTTGAATAATCATTTAAACCCCCTACATTTCAGATTTAGCTAAAACACCCCAACAACAAAAGCAGTTTAAAACATAACAAAAACACTGCCAACCGCCCCAAGCCACTGGCAACGGCTTGCCACCACCGCTGGCGACAACGAAAGTAGAGATCTAGCTGTGAAAGGCCAAATCTTTGGCTGTGAAACGGTCGTCTTTTCACAGCCAAATATCTGGCCTTTCATGACCACATCTTTGCCCGTGAAAGGCCAAATCTGGTTTTTTCCGGCCATGGATCTATCATGGAAACGGCCTTACCGGTACACGCCCAGCCAAATCTAGTTGGTCGTGCACTATTCTGTCGACAGCTGGCAGTGGTGGCCAGCAGTTAGCGATGGTAGTCGGCGGCTGGCCCTGGTGACCAGATTCGACCACCACCCTTGGGTAATTTTTTTTTAATTCTAGGGGTATTTATGTCCTAAAAAAATTTGTATATAATTATAAAATAGTCAATTAGTATTTTTGTAAATTGCTTTTAAAACAAGGGCATTATTGTCCTAAAATTTTATTAATAAGGGGTAAAATTGTAACAAAAATAAGATTACAGAGTAATCTTAAAATATTTAAGAAAATGGACGTAATCTATATTACCAACAGTATCTAGCATTGGTTTTGAAAGATTACCGGAATCTTATATTACTTGACAACCAAACGTGGTAATCAAATAATATAAGATGACATTACCTCAATAATCTCTACCTACCAAACACACCCATAAGGTTTACCCATACTAACCTTGTTATCTGCACAGGAAGTAACATTGAGGCTGGTCTTTTTTATCAACTAGTAGCAACTCTAGTGTCATGTAAGTCCCCTTTGGTCTTCTCTGCGTGAATAGTGTCTCTTTCCCACGCAAAAACCTTTGGTGTATGTGGACCACCGTGAAGGTGTTTGAACACAAACAAGAGTAAAAGAAATGGGTTATTTTTTGGTCTCTTATTTGAATGTATCTTAGGTTAGGTTAGGTTAAATTGTTTGTTTATGTATATTAAATTATTGAATTGTACTTTTAACATTTTTTTTAATTAGCCTATTCGTGTATAAGTCTATGAAATTGTCCTCCATTGACTCAACTTGAGCTTTGAGTCCTTGTGAGATTACCTAATACCCTTATATGAATCAGCTCACATTTAACTTGGTCAAACGTTGTTATGACGGCAGGGGGTATATCAATTAACCTTGAAAACCTAAATATAAAAACCAAAAACACCTAGATCTAAAAAATAAAAATCCATAGATCTAAAAATTGAGGCAACATGAAGGCTATGGTGGCCGGACTTTGGTGGTGGCTAGAAGTAGCCTCTTTGCGACCTAGCCGCTTCGTCTTATTATCGGTCAGGTGTGTCATGTTGTGTCCTAGCTACATCGCATGGTTGGCCAAATTATTCATTTTAATGGGCAAGATGTGAAAGTTTTTGGGTAAATGTATTGATATACTGGTAATGAATTTACTAAATGTTACACTATGATATTAGAATTTATGTTATAAAGTATATTGTTTAATCCAGTATGAAGATTCAATTTTACCCTTTAAGAAAATAAATAATTACACTGATATCCCTGAGTCGGTAATTGAGTTCATATAGTGTAAAGCCTTGGGGTTAAGTGTAGCTTTTAAAAATAAGAGGGTGGTTTTAGTATAATGTACACTATATTTAAAATCTAATTGATAGTTTCTAAAAAGATGGTGGTAATTCATGAAATTATCCCAATTAATATAGAAGAATCATATAATAACAAAAAAGAAAAATATATTATATTTCTTTATCAACTTATATTTTTTTGGTGTTTAAATTTAAAATTAAAGTCGCTGTTTATGAGAGTGACGTGTTTGACAAAGAATGGATTGATACACCGTCAGCCGCCGTGTCTCTGTACGCAAACAAAGTCAACAACGAACGCAGAAAATTTTCAAGCAAAATCGAATATTATTCCATTCTCCACCATCTCATATTCAATCCTTTATTTTTTGTTTTCTTTCTTGAACCGTTCACCTTCCACCCGACCCAATCTATCTCTTCTCATCTCCCTTTCTTCCCCTTTGTTTGATGCTCTTCATTCTATCTTAACATCATGGGGCGCCTTCAACTTCTTCTTCAATATCACAGAAGGTTGTCAGAGGCCGTCGCTGAAGAAAAATGCAAATCGATTTGTGACTCTAATGAATCTTGTTATGAGAAATGCATGAAATCCCCTTCTCCTCCGCCTATCTCTTCACCGTCTCCTCATTCAAACAAAGCTCACAAGTTCTTGATAATCACACTCACAGTTTTCGCCGTTACTTTTGTTGCTCTGTGTTTTTATATTCTCTACTTCAAGATCTACTTAAATTGGCGTGCTTCAAGGAGATCAGCATCGTCACAGCCGCCACAAACAGATGATGATGAAACCCATGATGATTTTCTTGATGAAGATCACGGTCCGGTCGTTGACCACCACATCTGGTACATCAACACCGTTGGTTTGCAGCCGTCGATTATAGGCGCCATCACCGTTTGCAAGTATAAGAAAGGCGATGGTCTTGTTGAAGGAAGCGAGTGCTCCGTTTGTTTGAACGAGTTTGAGGAGGACGAGACTCTCAGACTTTTGCCTAAATGTAATCACGCTTTTCATGTCCCTTGTATTGATACTTGGCTTCGTTCTCACACCAATTGCCCCATGTGCCGAGCTCCGATTGTCAAGTATAACACGTCCGGTGAATCATCTTCTTCATCAACAACACCCGACTCCATTACTGATAATTCAGCTGTTAGCAGTGATACTCAGGTTGAAGTTTTGCGAGATGATGGAGAAACCGAGAGAGAATTGGAAGAAGAAATTCTTGAAAGGAGGATTGGGATTAAACCAATTAGAAGATCGGTTTCTTTGGATTCTGTATCAGCTTTTAAGATAAGTCGAGTTGTTGGTAATTTTAGTATTGAAGAAGAAAGTAGAGGGAATTCAGATGCCCAGATGGGGAAAGAGAAAGATTCAAGAATGAGAATTGTTTCAAGAAGAGTAAGCAGAACTGAAAGCTTGAGAAGATTTGTGGGAAGTTCTTCAATTGCAAGATCTTTGCAGATTGGTCCAGTTTCATTCAAAAGATCATTTTCTTGCAGTGGAAAATTCTTGTTGCCAAGGAGTAGCTGAAGACGCGACTCAAAATGTTTCAGGTCAGATATCCACAAACTTGAGAGTCCAGATGAATCGGAGGGCTCATTTTTTTTTTGGTTCTAAAAAATAATTGAAACTGCATACCAAACTCAGCTCTGTGACAAAGTCTTCTATTTAGAAAAGCCCTTGATATTTTAATTATATATGGTTATATATAGTGATAAGAGAGGCTGATCGAGGGAAAGGATATTACCTGTTAGAGGATAAATTTTGTTGTATTAAGTTTGCGAGGAGATCCATGAAAGGGAATGGATTTTCTTTAGCAAAGAAGTGTTTGTAAGTAAAAAACTCTCTTCTTGCGAAGTGATGATGATACTGTCTGTACACAATTTTGATTGATAAAATGATGATTTCTGCAAGGTTGTTTAGTTTATTGGTTACTTGATTAATAGTTATTACATTAGAATCAAATGGTTAAGGACTATTTAATGAATTCTTCACTTATATAGTGGATTTAATAAAGCTGGGGTGACATTTCCATTATCTTTGAACAATTTAATGGACTTCTCATACCATTAAAAGAAGGTACCTCAATGTAGTTGTTCTTCCATCCTTTTCATTAGACTGGTTCTTTGTGGTGGTTTAATTCTTTTAAAATGTAATTTTGAACTTGGGATGTTGAAATGATGAATTAATAATTTGGAAGGATTATGTCGTTAAATAGGTGAAATATAATTTATTTTCTTATATATAAAATTGAACTATCTTTTTATACCTACTACATTTTGAGAATTTAAAAAACTCACCGACAAAAGCTATTAAATCAAGAGTATGTCGATTGCCCCTGCAGGCCATTACTAAATTAAAAAGTTCCAATTTTTATTAAAAATTTTATTTAATGGAAAATCTTGCATTAGATAAGACGCAATTTCAATCCCCTCAATGACTAGTACTTGAACAAAAGCCCAAGTTTACTGAAGGTGTTGCAATAGTTTATGCTTTTCAAAATATATCCCATACGTTTTGATAAATAGTACTCATTTTTTTTCACAAGCGTCTGTCTCTTTGTGTTTTTGTTGTTTTCTTTAAAACACCCTATAGTGAATCTTAAAGAGAAAGATGATTTTTGAGAGAAAATTCTGATATTAACTTTTCAGTAACTGAACTTATTACAATTAATACGGCTCAGCTCACCTTTATACAAAGAATGATTTGGTGAGTGAGAGAAACAGAAATCAATGAGTGAGAATTGGTAAAGGCAGAGAAAGACGATGGGCAGAGAGAGACGACACCGTTTCTGCTTAAGTGGAGAAGAAAAGGTGAAGTATCGTTTCTGCCTTTTACAATAAATGGTCAACATGCTCCCTCAAACTAGACTACTTCTTCCCCCTCTTACTTCCAGCATCATGTACTAACAATCCCCCTCAAAGTAAACACCTCTGGTACTGCTTATACTTCTAGGAAAAAAAATGCCACTATGGTCTGGACTTCAGCCTTTTAACTTGATTCAGTAATTCAACAATTTAACACCAATACAAAAGCCGGGCAAACAATCTTGCTAAGAACATCAAACACCATTGCTCCAATCTGGGAACCAATCTGCATTTTCAAACACCATTGCTCTAATCTGGGAACCAATCTGCATTTTCAAACACCATTGCAACTCAAATATCAAAAGCCAAGCAAACACAAATACTAAATGCCAGTCAACCAACTTGCTAAAAACATCAAATACCATTTCATCATTACACCAACTTGTGCATCAATTTGCATTTTTTTTTAGCTACACCAAACGTCAGTACACTACTCTGCACTTTCAACATGCATAACTCTGCATTTTCAACATGCACAACTCTTGCATTTTCAACACCAATCTGCATTTTTAACATGCACAACTCTTGCATTTTCAACACCAAATATCAGTACACCAATTTGCATTTTTAACATGAACAACTCTTGCATTTTCAACATGCACAACTCTGCATTTTCAACATGCACAACTCTGCATTTTCAACACCAAATACCAATGCACTACTCATTCAACCATTCTGCAGCATGTTAAACACCACTTTTTACTGCAACATCAAAACTACTGTAACATTTTGCAGCATCAAACACTCTGATACGACAAAACAAAAGAAATTGTGATAAAAAAAAATGTAACCAAGATCAACAAAGGCTGCTGGTGGAGACTGTGAGTGAACTAGTTCCATTATCATCTTTAAGAGAACTAGTCCCATACTCTGAAATACAGCTAGAATTGCCAACTTTGACAGGGACTGCAACTGTATTGCTGTCAGCACCGCTGGTTACGACAACAACACTTAATTTGTCCCTTAAAGTATGAAATTGAGAGATTGACAAGGCCTTAGTTAAAGCATCTGCAATTTGCAATTTAAAAGGCACATATCGCACAACAATGTTCTTGGCAAGCACTTGATCTCTAATATAGTGAGCATCAATTTTGATATGCTTAGTTCATGCATGAAAAACAGGATTAGCAGCAAGGGCTCCAGCACTTACATTATCACACCAAATAACCAGGGAAGAAGACAAGCTTATGCCCAACTCTGAGAACATACTTTTCAGCCATGCAACTTCAGTGGCAGTGTGAGCAAGAGCTCTATATTCAGCTTCGGTGGAAGATAATGCAACTACGTTTTGTTTTCGGGAACTCCATTGAATAAGGTTAGCCCCCAAGAAGACACAATAGCCACTTGTAGACCTCCTATCATCAAGGCTACTTTCCCAATCAGCATTAGCATAGCATTCAACACCTAATGTTATAGCAGGTCTAAACTGTAAACCATAATTTTGAGTGCCCTTGATATACCTTAACACTCTCTTACAAGCTTGCCACTGTATTTCTGTTGGGGCTTACAAGAATTGGCTAAGTTTGTTGACAAGGAAGCTAATATCTGGCCTTGTTAAGGTCAAGTACTACAGGGCTCCAATGGTGCTCCTATATAGGCTAGGATCATTAAAAGGAGCACTATCAGTGGCAAACAACTTTACTCCAACAGCTATGGGTGTAGAGTAAGAGTGAGCATCCAACATTTTTGTCTTGGACTAACAGATCATTGATGTATTTGGACTGTTTTAGGTGAAGCCCTTCATTTGTTCGAGTAGCTTCAAGACCAAGAAAGTACTTCACTGACCCAAGAGTCTTTAAGGCAAATTTGTCATTCAAATCCTTCACAAGTTTATTGGTAAATGAAGCATCTGAACCAATGATGAGTATATCATCCACATAGACAAGAATATAGATTACTTGGGTGTTATGCTTAAGAATAAAGAGGCTGGAATCTGAGATTGAATTCTGAAATCCATGAGACAAAATGGCTTCTTTTAACTTGTCAAACCAGACTCTTGGTGCTTGTTTAAGGCCATAGAGAGCCTTTTGAAGTTTGCACACATGAGAAGGATAGTGTAGGCTTACAAACCCTTTAGGTTGATGCATGTAAACTACCTCATTCAACTCTCCATTGAGGAAAGCATTGTTGACATCAACTTGTTGGATGTCCCAACCATAGGTGATAGCAAGACTTAAAATGATTCTAATAGTGGAAGGCTTAATAACANTTTTCAACACCAAATATCAGTACACCAATTTGCATTTTTAACATGAACAACTCTTGCATTTTCAACATGCACAACTCTGCATTTTCAACATGCACAACACTACATTTTTAACACCAAATATCAGTGCACCAATCTGCATTTCAAACACCAAATACCAATGCACTACTCATTGCACCATTCTGCAGCATGTTAAACACCACTTTTTATTGCAACATCAAAACCACTGTAACATTCTGCAGTATCAAAAACTCTGATACGACAAAACAAAAGAAATTGTGATAAAAAAAAAAAAAAAAAAAATGTAACCAAGATCAACAAAGGCTGCTGGTAGAGACTGTGAGTGAACTAGTTCCATTATCATCTTTAAGAGAACTAGTCCCATACTCTGAAATACAGCTAGAATTGCCAACTTTGACAGGGACTGCAACTGTATTGCTGTCAGCACTGCTGGTTACAACAACAACACTTAATTTGTCCTTAAAGTATGAAATTGAGAGATTGACAAGGCCTTAGTTAAAGCATCTGCAATTTGCAATTTAAAAGGCACATATCACACAACAATGTTCTTGGCAAGCACTTAATCTCTAATATAGTGAGCATCAATTTTGATGTGCTTAGTTCATGCATGAAAAACAGGATTAGCAGCAAGGGCTGCAACACTTATATTATCACACCAAATAACCAGGGAAGAAGACAAGCTTATGCCCAACTCTGAGAACATACTTTTCAGCCATGCAACTTCAGTGGCAGTGTGAGCAAAAGCTCTATATTCAGCTTCGGTGGAAGATAATGCAACTACCTTTTGTTTTCGGGAACTCCATTGAATAAGGTTAGCCCCCAAGAAGACACAATAGCCACTTGTAGACCTCCTATCATCAAGGCTACTTTCCCAATCAGTATTAGCATAGCATTCAACACCTAATGTTATAGTAGGTCTGAACTGTAAACCATAATTTTGAGTGCCCTTGATATACCTTAACACTCTCTTATAGGCTTGCCACTGTGTTTCAGTTGGGGCTTGCAAGAATTGGCTAAGTTTGTTGACAAGGAAGCTGATATATGGCCTTGTTAAGGTCAAGTGCTGCAGGGCTCCAATGGTGCTCCTATATAGGCTAGGATCATTAAAAGGAGCACTGTTAGTGGCAAACAATTTTACTCCAACAGCTATGGGTGTAGAGCAAGAGTGAGCATCCAACATTTTTGTCTTGACTAACAGATCATTGATGTATTTGGACTGTTTTAGGCGAAGCCCTTCATTTGTTCAAGTAGCTTCAAGACCAAGAAAGTACTTCACTGACCCAAGAGTCTTTAAGGCAAATTTGTCATTCAAATGCTTCACAAGTTTATTGGTAAATGAAGCATCTGAACCAATGATGAGTATATCATCCACATAGACAAGAATGTAGGTTACTTGGGTGTTATGCTTAAGAATAAAGAGGCTGGAATCTGAGATTGAATTCTGAAATCCATGAGACAAAAAGGCTTGTTTTAACTTGTCAAACCAGGCTCTTGGTGCTTGTTTACGACCATAGAGAGCCTTTTGAAGTTTGCACACATGAGAAGGATGGTGTAGGCTTGCAAACCTTTTAGGTTGATGCATGTAAACTACCTCATTCAACTCTCCATTGAGGAAAGCATTGTTGACATCAACTTGCTGGATGTCCCAACCATAGGTGATAGCAAGACTTAAAATGATTCTAATAGTGGAAGGCTTAATAACAAGGCTAAAGGTCTCAAAGTAGTCCAAACCAGGAGTTTTTTGGAATCCTTTGGCTACTAACCTAGCCTTATACCTTTTGTAAAAAGCCATTAGTATGAAATTTGGTCCTAAATA